CTATTCACAATGAAAAGATTCGAAAAGGGGATGCAGGAAGGAAGTGGTCCAAATCACAGCTCAAACGGCCTAATATACGTTGGGAAGCCCAATCGTGCCAAATAAAGAAAAAGCCCAATGGTCGAAATTCCCACCACGTTGCAGCTGCCGTAGCCGACAACAATGGACTTTATCAAAAAAAAAAAAAAATTCAACACATGCTTCTTCTCCGATTGGATCATTGTTTTCTGTTATTTTCTCTCTCTTTGCCGCTGCGGCTGCGGCTTCGGCTTACCCACTCCTCCTAGTCTGGAGCCGCAGATAACACCTCTAGGAAGAAGAAAATGGCGATATGGGTATTTGGGTACGGCTCTCTCATATGGAAAACCGGCTTCCCTTTCGACGATCGCGTCGTGGGCTTCATCAAAGGCTACCGCCGCGTCTTCTACCAAGGTCCCTCTTTTCTGCACGCCTGCTTTTGTTTCTTCATTATATTAATGGACTCATTGGTGGGTATCTTCGTTTGTCATGTAGGAAGTACGGACCACAGAGGGACGCCTGAATATCCCGGTAGAACAGTGACATTGGAGCCTGCAGACGGGGAAGTCTGTGTGAGTTTCGTTCAAGTTTTTTTGATAGTCATTCGTTGTTAACTTTTTAGTAATTGTTTGATTGAGGTTTGGGATTTTTAGACTTCTAATAATGTTGTGCCGAAAGGCCTGAATGCAACACCTGCATCCAGTTTATGATAAAACTGAAGCTTAGTAGAGATAAGGCAATATTTTGTAAGTGGAACGGAAAATATGACTTTGCTATATGTTTGTTCACCAATTGGCCTATATATGTAGGCATATGATACAATTAGAAAAGTAGCAACTAAAACCATAAATCTAGGCAACGTGCATACCGGACTTTGCACTTGAGTTGCCAGAAGAATAGCAAGCCAAACAAACTGACAGGTTCCTAAAGAATAGGATAACATACTGATTTTTTTTTTTTTTTTCCTAGATTTTGAATACTGAGACATAACAAGTCTCTGACTTTAACTAACTGACTCTGCTATCTAACCAAGTTTACCAAATACCAATCCTAGAAGTATAATCTTGCACGCCTAGAATTTTGATTTTTTGCAGTTTCCTTTCTTGTTTATCATATGGAAAATGAAGTTAAGAAACGCTGTAATTGGTCATTTAAAGTTGCTTCTCTGTATGTATAGAGTGACTGAGAGAGTAAGTTCTATGACCATGTGATGGAATGCATCAGTGTGTCCGTGTGTACTATTTTCTCCTAAGAACGAATGCAAGCTGCAGGAATTTGATATTTTTTATTTGGGTTCTATTTCTTATGCATCATTTTTCTTTTCTAGCTATCCTGCTATGCATGATATATTATCTGTTATCAATGTCAAGTTTTTGGATGATACAGTATGAAAATTGAATGGTTCATTCATACTTTTGAGGTTTTAGTGGGGAGTTGCCTACAAGATATCCAAGAAGGAAGATAAAGAAGCTGCACTGACGGTATGGTTCACTAAGTCAAATCAGGAATCATGTTCTTGTTCTATCTAGTGTTGGCCATGTAGCAATTAATATGTTCCTTCATTTGACAACACTAATGTAACAAAAAAATGAAAGTAAAAATTAAGTTGGGTTTTTTTATCTTAAATTTATTTTTGAGCTCGCTACTTTTGTTCCATTTTCAATAAATGGAAAAGGAAAGTATTATTTACTTTTTCATGGTATTGGCTAACACCTTTGTGTTTGATGTGCTTGAAATCATACGAAAGGATAGGTTTTAGTAGTCTTCCATTTGGGTCAGAATCATTGGTCTAGGGAATTACTTCAAAAGGAAAAGCTTCCCAACATTTATTAGCCACAGAATTTCTTTT